AATATAAGCCCCCCAATATAAGCCCCTCCCTCCAATATAAGTCCCCCTAATATAAGCCCAGTAGCGCACTTGCAGAGCTAACCGTCTCGCGTGGCGGCGAGCTCAACTATTCATTTTCACCACACACGTTGGAAAATATTACTCAACAGCAACATCATCGGATAAGAACGTTTGCATTTCTCTCCATTATCGTGATTTTGACCAATGTCACGTGAAGAAACTATGAGTTCTCATTGCTTATAGTTAATTCAAGTAGCTCAACACTAAGCTCGTGACATGCGCAGACGTTGAGATTTTTCTCGCGAGGTGAAAAATATCAAACACGATACATATTTTCCTCATGGCCTCGAGAGGTTAAATTCTCACGAAAACTGTCCAGCACACTAGAGAAACATGCTGAGCTAGCTGCCACGCGAGACGGTTAGCTCACCGACAGCAAGTTTCTCTCGTGGACGATGACCGAGATACTGCCATGTAACTATATATTTCTGTAAATTATCGCGTTCTGTTTATATGGAAACCTGGGATCCCACCTCAAACCAGACAGTTTTGTCATGTAAATGTTCCGTCCCTCCTAACCGAGTTCATATTAGTAGTTATTATAATTATTTATTATTATTAAATTCGTCACAAATGTTTACACTGACACACCTATATATATCTTATAGCAACTTAAATACTGAAAATTCCAATTTTCATCCTGGTTTGACTTCGGCCTGGTCTTATGTGAACAAGGCCTTAGTTGTATTATTGTTTACACTGGTGGAAATGAAAAAATCTCTGAAACTGATTTGGGTTTTTTCAATGTCTTTACTTAATTTATGTTTAACAGATTTGATTAACAAATGAGTGTCGATCCTATTGACCATCCTCTTCGACGAGAGGGAAGCGACGACGAAGAATCTCTGGAGGATGGATCAGCAACTGTAAGAACACCATCGTCGAATGCTTCAGGTACAGATGGACCAAGCGAAAGTCCTAACACCTCTAAGCAAGCCAACAAAGTTCTCGATAAGAGTGATCAAGTGAAAGATAGCCTGCATGAAATGCAACAAGGAAAGAATGGTGAAACTGGAGTATTGCAGAAACATGAAATTGAAGATCAAAATGTCCGACAGCCTGCGACTCTGTTAGTGAAGAGTGGTGGAAGTGAGACGCAATCAGTAAAAAGTCGCCAGACTGAAGCTCAGCAAAGAAAAGATGGTCAGAGCGCAGTGCAGCAAGGAATAAGAAGCCACGAGCCGGCAAAGAATAACCAGACTGAGCAAGTTCAGGGACGTAATGTTTGTCCAAAGCCAGAAACAAGTACATCACAAACAATTTCTGATGTGACCAGTGGAAAATATAATCCATCACCTTCATACAACGTACGATCAACACCAAATGTTCCTCACTCGACCTTGGTAAGATTGTTTACTTTAATAATTCTTACACAATTGGAAGTTTTTCTATCGCTGTAGATTAGAAAAAGCCCTAACTTAGATAGATACTAGATATTAACAAGCTTTCGTTGGTGGGGATACAACTATCTGAAAAATATAAGGAGAATTTCGACGTTTTGAGCAAAGGCCTTTTTTCGAAGCGCCGAAATTCTTATATTATCCCTACCAACGAAAGCTTGTTAATATTATTGACACTATCTACACTGACACAGACAGTTCAAGATATTAGATACACTGTTACTGACTTACTGTAATAGAAAACCTTACAGGTACTGTAACTGAATTAAATTGCGGATCAAAATATTGTTTCAAGGAAAAATGTACGCCACTTTTCTCGCAGGCATGCGTAATTTTGGTGCTTTCAAAAAATTTTTACTTCACTGTTTCCGAAAAGTATTGTCCATGGGGAGGGGGAAGTATGACCCCGGTGAAAAGGACCTCACCACAAAAATCTGGCCCCTTCGTCCGGCAACGTAAAAGGCCTATTAAGTATCATGGTAGAAATTATGATCTTGGTTAGAGGTATTTTTTACTAAGAGTTATTCATTAACCTTACCACAATGTAATTGTGTAATACAGCATGAAAACGGTTCTTACAGCTTACATATAACAGGTGTAGCACCATCATGTTGCGACCATATAGTCACACCCATATAACGTAATTGTCATATTAAATAATGACTATTAAATAAAACTTTGTTAAAAGTTAGCAATATCGCAAGTAATATATGATTCTGTACATTGCATGCCAATGGCGCCACAACATACGCATTTTATAGTTACAACTGTACATTAAACAACAACGCTAATCGACTTGATTAATTGATTGTCTTAGGAAAAGTATCTATAATGTCATAAAAATGGCACAACTTGGGACTCTTTATTTATTTCATCAAGTGATCCATCTTCTGAAAGACTCGCATATAACTTAGAGCTTTAAACGGACACCAAAACACCTTTGGCATACATGTTAAAAATTTCGCCCCCCAATATTTCGTGAAGCGTCCGCAGTATAAGTGGTCATAAAAGTCAGATTACACCTCTGAAAATAAAAATGTCTAGACTCTAGTGCAGCAGTGCTTTTATTGTTTGAACAATCATATTTTTAAAAGAACCCTACTTCCAGCGGACTAACTTTTTTGCTTTCTTGTTTTCGTCACGAAGGGGCAATAGATTGAGTGTTTGAACTAGGATCAAAGTCTGGCCCAATGAGTCTCTGGAAAATAACAATCTCTGATTGGCTGGTAAAAATTATCATATGCTCTCTTCATCTGTTCCTTTCTCCGCTAAATATTCTTGTCTTGTAACCATATTGTTGTCTTAGTTTGTAATTATAATTTTTGTATAGTATATTTATGATCTGAAGAAGTCATATATTAAATTGTAAACAAACGAATTAATATGTAAACTAAATGAAACCGTTGGACGTTGTGTTGTGATGGATTGTTTGTTATATGGTGTTATTGCCAAGATTGGTTGTGTTACTTATGTATTATACTGGGTGTGTTTTCTATCAATTACAAAGGAAGGAAGGGAATAAGTGGAAAAGCCAGCCGCCGTGTGAACAATACAGCGGGTGTATAAAAACGTTCACATTTGGAAAATGGCCACTAAACTGAAAATTTCATACAGTTGTCGAAGAATTTATATGAAATATTTCCCTAATACTGAAACTAATCCAAATATTTAACTTTTTAACTTGCAGAAACGTGGAAGCCACGAGACTCCGCCAGCAAAGAAAAACCAGACTGAACAAGTTCAGGGACGTAATGTTTATCCAAAGTCAGAAAAAAGTACATCACGAACAATTTCTGATGTTCCCAGTGGAAGAACTAATAATCCATCACCTTCATTCAACTTACAATCAAGGCCAAATGCTCTTCACTCGACGGTAAGATTGTTTACTTTAATAATTCTTACACAATCGGACGTTTTTTTATCGCTGTTTTTCAAATATTTCGTAATAGATTAGAAAAAGCCCCAACTTATAGATAGATACTAGATAGATATTAACAAGCTTTCGTTGGTGGGGATACAACTATCTGAAAAATATAAGGAGAATTTTGACGTTTCAAGCAAAGGCCTTTTTTCGAAGTGCCGAAATTCTCCTTATATTATCCCTACCAACGAAAGCTTGTTAATATTATTGGCACTATCTACACTGAGTCAGACACAGACAGTTCAAGATATTAGATACACTGTTACTGACTTACTGTAATAGAAAACCTTACAGGTACTGTAACTGAATTAAATTGCGGATCCAAATATTGTTTCAAGGAAAAATGTACATCAGGCATGATTAATTCTGGTGCTTTTAAAATTTTTTTACTTCACTGTTTCCGAAAAGTATTGTCCATGGGGAGGGGGAAGTATGACCCCAGTGAAAAGGACCTCACCACAAAAATCTGGCCTCGTCCGGCATCCCTGTAAAAGGCCTGTCTTATATCGTGGAAGAAATTATGATATTGGTTGGAGGTATTTTTTACTAAGAGTTATTTATTAACCTTACCACAATGTATTGTGTATGGTAATACAGGGTTTTCAGTTTTGTGCGAGGCTCTGGCTAATGGCGATGAAGCTATGGTGAAAGGAAAACGCCTAGACTATGTAGACTGCACCTCAGTTAAGTTTCACAATCATTCGTGCACATGCATGATTATATATTTATGTAAAAGCTCTGGCGAATTTGGGTGGGGTTGAATGAAAACATGTGGCGAAATTCGCCGTTCGCCGGCCTATAAACTGAAAACCCTGGACTAATACAGCATGAGAACGTTTCTTGCAGCTTACACATAACAGATGTAGCACCATCATGTTGCGACCATATAGTCACACCCATATAACGTAATTGTCATATTAAATAATGATTATTAAATAAAACGTTTGCTAAAGTTAGCAATATAGCAAGTAATATATGACTCTACTTAATTGCATGCCAATGACGCCACGAAGCCCACAACATATGCATTTTATACATTCTGTTTTGTTCTGTGTAGGATTCCTTACAGCTGTACTGATAAACAAGTATAATTGATAGTTAAACTGTCCATTAAACAACAACGCTGCTCGATATGAATATCTATAATGTGATAACAATGGCACAACTCGTAACCTGAAGTTCAGGCCCTAATTTGAAATAGGGCCTGACGCAAAACCTGTCTAGACCGTGGGACGCCCACATGTTATTTTTAGACACACATGCAATATGATTGACAAGTGTTGTAGATTTCGTTACACAAAAAAATTATATTCTCATGAACATGTCCGCAGAGCATTTTGCTTTTTA